TCTTAAAGAAGAGTTGCAAAGATAGAAGTTCCCCAATACTTTCCCCCAGGTTCCCCTAAGGTTAACCTTTTACATATCCATGTTCCAATTATCACAAGGCTCTTTTTATCACACTGTGGAAAGTGTTATTTATTGTCTAAACATGCATTTCATAATATACCCAATGATAAAGAAATTAGGATTTTTTTTATAATATTAACATATCTCATTATCTATTAGGATGACACATTTGCAACTGGAATATTGAGGTTTGGGGACTTTTTGGAATAATGCTAATAACACATTTATGTCTCTATATAAATTAGTGTGAGCTTTCATAGACTGTTTCATAAACATATCCACGACAGTGAATTTATACTATTAGATACATAAACATAAAACCTGTTTGAATTTTTGAGATGATAAATTTCAATAAATCATTTTTTAAGATGTGCAATCTTAGAAAAATATTTCTAATCAATGTCTATTTATAGAACTTGTTATAAAAGATCTGGGATATAGGATTAGGTGATACACTTTTTGGTATGTATTTTCTCCTATTTTCTTTGTGCTGCATTGAGTGAAAAAAGGATCAGAATAGGTATATTGATTCTCTCTGTCTAAAAAACTAAAAACGCGGTTTTTAAAAACATAGAAAAAATTAGTTGGGTTGTTGACAAGCTATGCTTGGTTACAATATTTGGACTGTGAAAACTGTAAAACTCTTTTTAGTACTTTAAGCTTTCCAAATTTTTTCGTATTTATTTGATCTTTCCCAACAGTACTTTGCAGTAACAGGCTTCTCATTTTCCTTTTTCCTAATTTCATTCTGATACTAGTAGCAAACTGTTACTGCCCTACCCATGTCTCCTTGTCTACCATTTCAGAGCACACTGGCCTGATTTTCCATATTGGTGGGGGATATTCCACAGCATTTCCAGCCTCTGTAAGGGCAGAACAGCCTCCAGCCTCCATAGAAAGTCCTCAGAAAAAGATGCAGCTCTAGCAGTTGGAAGATTGGCCAGCATGCATTGAATAGACTTCGACCAATGACTAAAGGGAGGTGGTGTATATTTATACCTGCTTTCTCACGCTTTGGGTGGGATAATTCTAAGGCTACTATTTTAAATGGTTTTCCAGGAAATCCCAGTGAGATTAAGCTCTGTTTACTCACAGTGATAATTTGCCTGGGAATTCACACCCTTCATTGCCTCCCTTCCATTCCCTGTCTCACTTCCCCAAGATGCTACTGTGTTTTCTGAAATCACTTCCAAAATAAACTACTTGCACTTGAATCCTTAACTCAGGATCTGCTTCTAATAGAACATAAACTCAGAAAATATATTCCCAAAGTACAGGCTGCAGAGGAACACTCAGTATTTATGTTGTTTAGTAACAGAACTGATTTTAGGACACGTAGGAGCATGGAGACAAAGAAAATAGGTTTGGGGATATTTGTGGATATCAACTATCTGTGCTTTCTCTAGAAAGCCAATCATTATTACTGAAAATATATTATCTTTTGTTACTCAGACTAAAATTTAGGAAGGAAAAGAATACCTAATGAAAGCCAATAAAGACTAGGGATTTTGTTCTTCAGATTAATATCATTTTCTATCATAGCTGCTTATGTTCATAAGTCATCAACTAATTGGCAAGGAAAAGCACACAAATTCTATTGTGTCAAGGTGTTAAAATATTATTAAATTTGCAGTGCCAATTGCTTGGTTAATTAAAAAATAAATGATTTCTTTTCAAAGAATTAAAAGGTCAAGTGTTTCTATTATATTTTTTGAAAAGTTCATTCAGTTTATTTGTAGCGTAAGATGTAGAGCATGCTGTAATAATAATATAGCATGCTGTATAGCAGCTTATTAATGAACTGGAAGCTGCTTTACCTTTTTTTTCCTTCAGTTTTATTAGCTGGTACAAATGCAGAAGACAACAGGTAAAATGTTTATCTGTTTAATCAGAATGGTAGAGGTATATGCAGTGAGAAATGGAGAAGTATAATTTTTTTTCAAAAGACAATGAAATATACTAGGGAATAGAGCCTTAATTGGAATGTATTCTCTGATAATCTTCATTGACCAAATCAGCTCAGAGCTGACTGATCCATAGATGTTTGACCAGGTCAGAGGCTTAGGATAGCCTCTGTAATTGCTGGCATATCATAGCTTGGTTACTATTAGGTATACTATCCATATTAAAAATCTTATCTTCTGCTTCTGGGTCCCATGTGGTGGTGAATAGTATTTAAATATTAAGTCTAAAGAAGGAATAAGAGAAGGGTCAAATAAATACCATAAGAATACAGTGTCATGACTATTTCAGTAAGCTTATGTGTATAAGGCAATTTAATTTAGAAGGCTCATTTTGAGCCTAACTTACACATGGCAATGACAAATATTTTCTAAACTATTTTAGAAATAGTTTACTTATTTTTAGAAATCTGTGAACCTCAGGTTTTCCAGTTCTAAAACGTAGTCTTTCCCCAATTTAAAACTACATTCTATTGAGTACTTTGCCCAGGCTTTAATGTAATATAGCTTTGAACTATATTTGCCTTTGAATTATTTTTGTCCCTTGTCTTTTACTGTTTCAAAACAATCTAGTTGCAAATCCCAGCCCTTTTCTAATTTTTCATTTTTGAAAAATATGTCCTTACATATTTTTCACAGACTATTTTGTACAAGGTCTGGCATCAGCCTTTTCTCTATCTTGACTACCACAGACTTATTCCAAACCTCATTTTTTTCTCATCATAGCTTCCCCTTTTGTAAAAAAAAAAAAAATCCAATTCCGTGTAAAAATCCTCTTTATATTTGGTCATGAAGGCTACATTGTGGTTTCCTATTACATCATACATCAGATCAAAATTCTGAACTTTGGTTCACAGACCTTTACCAATATGTACTAACTTACCTGCTTTCCCTTTCTTTCAGCTCTCAGCTTATCTTCTTCCCTGACTTGAGGCAAATGTGCTTTTCATATTCCAGATGAATTTTTATTCCCAAATAAACGTTATTCTCTTCCTCATTCAGCAGAGTGTCACCTATCTTTCATTACTTAAAAGCACCAGAAATCCCAATGCCTCCTAGATGCTCCTTCCAATAAAGCACACTAAGAGTAGAGTTAGTATTCTTTTCCATTCCCTTCTCTATCTACCAGGAATTAAAATTTATCCTATTATTCTGAGGTTACTGCCTCAGCTATGCAGGTATTCTTGTTTAGAATACTACAGAATTCCAGTGAAGTTCTTTCTATGCTAGCTTAATACTAAAGCCATTTTCACGTTGAAGTGCTGTTGTAGAAATGTATAGGTAAGGAGCATCTTTGTTCTAGAAATCTAGTGAATATGTTCATACGTTTTTACATCTTACAACACATCGCCATGACATTATCTCATTTGACTCAAGAATTTCGGGAGGTAGAGTTGAGGTCCCTTTTTTAAGTGGGAGGGAACATGAGGCTCCAGTGTACTGCAGTATTCAAGAGGACAGACTTTGTAATCAAGACGACCTCAGTTTGAATTATTACGACAGTGTTTACACCAGTGTGACTTCGGGAAAATTATTAATATCTCTAAATCCAAACTGCCTCATAAAGTGCGGACAGTAATAACTACATGATATACAGCATGTAAAAAGCACCACATGTGAAGCGGATTGCCTGGCTCACGGTAAGCACTTAATACATATAGCAACATGTTAAGGGATTGCCCGAGACATACTTTTACAATATGCCCGCAAGGACTCGAAACCAAGATTTTGAATTCCAAAGCCCATGCTTTTCCACTATCACTGCCTCCTAGCACACTGATTTAATTAAACTACTAACTTGATGGATGACCTTGAGCAAAATACTGAGTCAGTTTACTCATCTGTAAACGGAGTCTTTTCAGACTTTCAGCGTCTACTCCAAATACATATTTTTTTTCCTGTAGTGTTCTAGGTTGTGGTTCAGGTTCGTTATATATCCAAGATCTGTATAATCATAAGCTGTGCACATTGCACTGAATTTTACTCGTATATTCATAGTTCGTTCAGTATTTAGTTTTGGATACACACTCAGCTGTTGCCTGTCTTTAGTCCGCTTCTCGGCGCCTCGTGAAGGGGATACCCATACCTAGCTTTATTTATTTATATGCTGGCTTGTTTCCGAAAGGATTTAAGGCAGCGAGTGACACTTTAAGTTCCCTAACGAAGTCACACAGTGCGAGTAATACTCTTTTGATGAAATCTCCCGTAGAACCGCCCTTGAGTGAGATGCTAACTAATGTCTTTTACCTAACTCTTAAAAATAAAGACTGATGTACCCAGCTAGAAGTCCTGGAAGCATACAGTTAAGGTTTTTTCCTCAGCCTTGACTCTGTCCCACCCTTTGTCAACGGTCACTCGAATGCCCTTCTCAGACTAGCCAAAATTGTCGCCGCTCCAGTCCCGGCTGGAGAGAGATCCCATCCCGCCCCTTCACTCCCTCTCATACCCAAGTTTCCCGATTGGGAAGGGGCCTGAAGAGCCTTTCTCACGTTTTCATATTATTGGCTGGCACGGCTGTCAGTAATATCTACTTCCCGCCTTCCAGCCTAGCGGGTTTCTTGGACCCCTCGGTTTCTGCGACTAGCCGCTTACGTTTGCCTGAGCCGTGTTGCCGGGGACCCGTGACCTTTCACCCCCTCCCTTCCCACAGGAGCGCCCCGGCCCCCGGCCCCGCCCCCGCCGCCGGCGCGCGCCCCCGCGCACGCTCTCAGCCCGCGCGCGCTCACTCCCGCGCAGACACGCACACTCTCGCCCCCCGCACTGGCCCCCCCCGCCCCCGCCCCCGCAGGCTGAGACTTCGGCGTCGGGAGGCGGCGGCGGCGGCGGCGGCGGCGGCGGCGGCGGCGGCGCTGCTGAGAGGCAGGGACCCGATCTCGAAGTGTGTGGGAGTCTGCGAACTCAACCCCTCACTACCCTCCCCTCGCAGCCATCCCCCCCCCCCCCCCCCCCCCCCCCCCCCCCCCCACAAGCGGGAGAAATAATGAGCGAGACCGGGCGGCAGCAGCAGCAGCAGCAGCAGCGCCGAGCAGCCCAGGCAACGGCAGAACCGCTCCGGCGGCGGCGGCAGCACCAGCAGCGGGAGCGAGCGCAGCGCTAGCGCGGCGCGGGGACCGCCGCGCTCCTTCCCGGCTCCTGCCCTCCTCCGCCGCTCGCTCTTCTCTCCGCGTCCACCTCTTTCCCCTCCTCCTGCTCATTCACTCTTTCCCTCACTCTCCCCTCCTCCTCAGCTTTTCCCTGCGCCCCGCCAGCCCTCGCGCTCTCCCACTCCCTCTGCCCGTCCTCCCCGCTCCCCTCCTCCCGCTCATTCACTCGCCCCTCTCTCTTCTCCACTCTCTCCCCCTCTCTCCTTTCTTCTCCTTCTTTCACCCTCCGTCTCTCACACCCCCTCCATTCCCCTGTCTCCTTTCTGACACTGCACTGCAGCTGCTCCTCAGCCCTGCCCCCTCCCCAGTGAGAACAAACCAGCAACATTGCTTTTTTTTCCTAAAGAGATTTCTATTGATCCGATTAAAAAAAACAAAAACAAAACAACCTTAAGAAACCCCAAAAGCAAAAAAAAAAAAAAAAAAAGAAAAAAAAGAAAAGAAAAAGCCAAAACAAAAGGGAGAACCTTCTCCCCGTAGAAGCGGCAGGAACTGCAAACATGATGGCGGCAGCTCCCATCCAGCAGAACGGGACCCACACTGGGGTTCCCATAGACCTGGACCCGCCGGACTCGCGGAAAAGGCCGCTGGAAGCCCCCCCTGAAGCCGGCAGCACCAAGAGGACCAATACGGGCGGTGGGTATCGCTTCCACCTCCCCGCTGGCCCCATCCCCCGCCGCCCGCCCCTGCCTCCCTCCCTCCCGCCGCCCTCCCTCCCTCCCTCCCGCGGCCCGGACACCTCCAGCCCGAACCCGGCGGTTCCCGCGCCCTGCCTCGCGCCCCCTCCCCTGCACCTGCCCCGCATCTCGCCGGCCCCGACACATTTCCATTTCTATGTTTATCATTCATCAAAATGGCGACCGGTTTTTCGGAATAGACCTATCTTTCCATTTAATCGGTCGAAAGGCTGACCATTTAAATATCCTAGACCTGGGCAAGGGGGTCCGTTAAGGAGGAGGAGGATGACCCCGAGTGAGGTGATGGCCGCCCGAAGATGCGCGGTGCATTTAACAGTCTGATTAAATAAATAAATAAATGGCACTTGGGTAGCGGAGAGCAAATGATTGGGGCACCGGAGAGTTTTGCTCTCTTCATCCCCTTGGTTTGGGCCACAAGTAGTATGCAAAATCTGGAAGAGTGCATACTCTTACCGCACTTACATTGTCGGTGCAAATATTTCACTGATTTGTCTTCAGGGGTGTGCATACGAGGGTGGGGGTGTCTGGTACTCTGACTTGTTAGTTAACATCCTGCGCTTCTTGGGAAGATGAGTTTTAACGGGACCGGTATCGCTTCTTCATTTGCACTGGAGTCATCTTAACAATGCACCCAATGCATCGAGGCAGAGGTGAATTTATCTACAGCACGTACATTAGAGACGGATGGGGGTCTTGCGAATGGCACACTCGAAAAATTTGGAACGTTCATTCACATAAGGAAGCTGGATTTACCGGGGTGTTTCCTATTTAAGACATGATCAGTTTGACGGAAATTAAAGTTTATGGAGTTGGCTTTATTTTTTTAAAACATTTCAATCTTTCTTGGTTAATCTACCCCCTTCGTTTTAATAATTGTGATTCTTTTGGAGAAGGAACATTATCTGGTCACTTTTAAGTGTATTTGATGTAAACGACTCCTAAGCTTTTTAGTATTGGCAAAATTCTTCTTAAGGTCCTTTAATTAATGAGCTTAAACGAGATCATAGTAGACTAAGGAGTGCTAAAGAAATACTCTAGGATTAGTTAGACTTGGCAGTCCACATCACTTTGAGTTATTTCCTGGCAATTATTGAAGGCTTGGAATACACCCTACAGTTTGGGTGGATTATTTGGTAGGAGAATGGTTGTTTTGCATACTTTAGGTAGGATATAGGCAATGGCTAATTGTAGTCCTTATGTGTTTGCTCATGTTAAACAAATATAGCTCATCACTATTTACTGTCTTTTTATTTATTTATTTTGCAATATGTTAAGGTTTGTCATGGTGTAAATCTCTGAAGTTTTGTTAAAGGGTCAGTTCATTTTGTTTTACCATAGTAACTACAGATAGAATTGGAAGACTTCCATGTTTGGAATAACAACTGGAATTTAGTCATCAGTTTCTACAGTGCTGCAAAGTAATAGAACATGTTTAGATTTTAATTCCAAGTTTGAAAGTATAAATTCTACAGAATGGGAAACATTTCGTACATATTTATTTTTCAGTGTAATTGGCTTATTTTCGTTCTTTAAAAAAAAAAAATTAACCCCATATTTCCTGCAGCTGTATGCCCAATGTTTTAATCGTTTTTTTTCTCTCTTGAGGGTGGAGGGAGGATACAAAGTTTAAAATTATTGTGTTAACGAAGTATATTTCCTTGCATTTTTCAGAAGACGGCCAGTATTTTCTAAAGGTTCTCATACCTAGTTATGCTGCTGGATCTATAATTGGGAAGGGAGGACAGACAATTGTTCAGTTGCAAAAAGAAACTGGAGCCACCATCAAGCTGTCTAAGTCCAAAGATTTTTACCCAGGTAGGTGCAATGGTGAAGAGATTGTTTGATAAATCCCCAAGGAAATAAAAGATCTACGTGTGTTGTGTGCTGTATTGAAAAAATTCTTAATAGTGTAGACTGTTTATTTATTTGATGTATTTGAGTATTTGTGGAAAAATTTTAAGAGTATTTTCACTCTTGGTTATGTTTTGTTTCTGTAATTGATATTCTGTCTATGATGTAGACCAATTTTGAGATGAATCTTCTGGGTATTTCTAAATACTTCTTTCTAATTAGGGGAAAAAACTCTAAAATTTAAAGATAGAAACCTAGACAGCTGGCATCAGGAAATAGGGTTCTTCTGAAGTTTTCAGAAATAATTGTAATGACAATTAGACTAGAGTGAATTCAGAAGAGGGGGTAGAAAGGCTTCTTAAAGAATGGACCATTTACTTTCTAAATCCATTATGTACCTCTTTCTGCTTCATTGCTTTGTTTGTTGGCCCTGGAGTGAAGAGGACAAGTGCTGTCTCTTCAGATTTTTAAAATATTGTGTTTTTAATATAACTGTGACAAGGAAATATATTATTATGTAAGAAGTAAAATAATGCTTCAAAATTTGTGTTACTTAAGAGCTGTATTAAGAGCTGTATTTGATCAAAATATATTAACAGTTTGTGTGGTACTGTAGGTACTGTAACCCAGTGGAATATGGCAAGTTTCCTAGGTGGTATAATTTTTTTTTTATAACTTTTCAGTGTGTTTTTTAAATTTAAACTGTTTATAGTACTATGCATTTATCTTTATCTTTTTAAAATCATTTTGCTACTTAATATATGGATTTTAAGTTTAACAGTGTATCTCCTAGATAAAACATTAATTGATTTGCTTTTACCTACATGTAGCTTCTGCAATTTTTTTTTTTGGTTATTTCATATTTATGGCCATAAAAAATATTTATTCAGTGCTGAGGGGACCAACACTGCTTATTTTTTTTCTTGGTAGGAAAGAAAAGCTGATTTGCTTTCAGTGATCTAATTCAGTAAGAGTTCTTTAGTACAGCAAAGACATCTGGTATGAATGTAAGCAAAACATTTGGAGGATTTCTTTTTCATAGCCAATCGCTTGGTGGTAGAAAGTGGACCACTGTGCTGCATAAGACGGTTTTAGAATGGTTGGAACTGTCATTTAGTTATGTAAATTAAATGTAGTATGTTTGGTAAACATTACATTTATTAAACTAAGGTGTTATCTATTAGATATGTCCTACGAAAGTTTGTTTTCTGTGAGTGTAGTTTTGTAGATGGCTTTCCTTGTCTCTGAAACTTTCCTTATGCATTAAGAAAGTTTGCTGACATATTCACATTCTTATATTTAAAAGGTATGTTATGATGAAAAAAATGTGGAATTGTGAAAATCTTTAGTGCAAATAAAAGCATTCAAAAGAGCTTGATTGCAGAATTAATAATGTTATAGTTCTAGGAAAAGAGCTGCAATGGTAAATTAAATTCACTGTCAATAGATGAAAATGAAATAGCTTTTTTTGCATAATACATGAGGGTATCAGATGTGCAGGGATGTTACAGAAAATTGGTGTTTATCAAGGATATTCCAAATAGTAAATTAAATGCCTTTTCATTTGAATATAGTGTATTTTCAGTGGGTTGGAAAGGGTGCAACTAGAATTAGATCTTTTGTTTTTAGTCCACAGTTGTGTATTTTTTTCTTATTACATTGAAATTGCTTATTTTATTTATAGTTCTGAGGCATGTTATTCATATAGAGCAAGAATATCCGTTGGAAAAAATGGAAAACTGGAATGCGTTGAATAAAATTTTGTGTGTGTAGTGACGTAACCTGATCAAATGTGAGTTGAAATGTCTGGATAAAAGAAGGCTTATACTCTGCCTGTAACAGGTGGAAACCAGTCGCAAACTATGGAATCAATTGTAAGGATAAAAAAAGCCCTGTAATTTATAAGAAGCTTTAATAATTCTGAACACTTTGTATGTAAATATGATTTTAGCTAGGTTATTACCTGTTCAGACAGATACATCTCTCTTCTGACAGACTTTAATAGTCTTTCTGTTCATACTTGACCATAAGCCTGTGGAATTATCTGAGGTCCTGGTATTTTTCAACATAGCAGCCTCTGAGCTACTCTCAACTTCTCTTACTCAGATATATTTAAGGGATACTTACCTTGCTCATCTCAAATGAACTAAATTATAAAGCTGTGATTTATACTGCCTAGTTATGAGGACTTTCTTGTAGGATTATGCAGTAATTAAAGCCCTTTTTTGTGTGTTTCATATATGTACTTATGACTCATATTCCATTACAATGAATATGCCCGATGTTTATTTCATGAAGCATTTTTCTGTTTCTTATTTGTAAGACAGAATATTTGGGGATAAGTGCACTTCAGTTGTATAACTTAATGGATTTTCTCAAATACCTAAGTTTTAAAACAATGCAATTGTTTTCAGAAGGTTCACTTAAAATACTGGTGTATTTGAGAAAAACTTTCTTCAGGGTATATATTACAGAGTACAGACATTGCTTAAGTAATCTCTTAAGCAACCTTGCTTTTCTGAGTAATTTTTAATATTTATGGTTGAGATGAAGAAAATAGTTTTTGCACATTAATTGGTATGAATTTAGAATTTATAGAACTGTATATTACATTGTGTATTTTAGCATGTCATATAAAATAAAATAATTTGGGGAAATTGTATGATGAGGATTGTAAAGTGCATTTATCAAGTACTGTAATCGGAAAAAAAGATCGATAAGTAGATTCATTTTTTTTGCTGTGCTGTGTAATTCATTTATCTATTACTAAAAATCTAAATCTTATAAAATACTAACTTATTACCTGTGGTTTATGAATATATCTTTTATTCTTACTTGATTAAAGGAACCTAATTTGATTTATTTATATATCCTTTTTATAAGTAGGTTACCCAAAGTTAATGCCTTTTAATTAAAAAACAGCTTTCTCATTTTGGGAAATACATTACTGTATGCATTTTCAGGATGGCAATAGGATAGTATTCTTTTATTCCTTTATTTGGCATCTGAAGATGTGTTTGGTTTTGTTAATACATAGATTGATTTTATCTGTTAAAATCATTTAATGAATGGTTCAGGTAGATAATTGGGAAAATTTATTGAATACATTATTCATTGGGAATAGTAAAGGATATATAAAATAAATATTTTCATGTATGCCTTAGATTTTAGAACATTTCATAGTGTACCTATTTTATTCCATTATATGACACTGGAGATATTCATTATATCAAACAGGAATTCTCTATAATCTTAGCATGTATTTGTGTGTGTTTTAAACTGTTTTCATACTTGTGGCTATAAAACTGGATCACATTTAATATAAATTATTTCCTTTTTTGGTCCTTAAATTAAAATTTGAGCTCATTATTCCTAGATTTATTGTAGCTTAATTTATCACTATCCAACTTCGGTGATGCTTTTTTAAAAAATCACAAACTATTTATATGTGAAATCTTTAAAAATCATGAAAAAGCAGAATGTGAGTGAAATTTTCTTTTAGTGAAGGAAATACCCCACACTGCCTTAATTTTGACATGGGGAAAATTCAGTGGCCAATTTAACCATTAGGGTTGGGATTGTATAAGAATGATAATTCTTTTGGAAATAAGAGGAGTTTATGAAGTTTGGAATAGATCACTTTTGTTTACATTGTTGAAGGAAGAGTATTATTGTATTGGTAGTACAATGTGAATACTTTTGTTATAGCTTCTGAAAGTTGCAGTCTATACCCTTTTCTTTGATCTGAGTTGCTTTGCATCTTAGAAATTTACTGGCATATATTTTAAGGCAAAATTAGCAGGTAAATATAATTGTAACAAGTAGAAAATAAAGTATAATTTCCAATATTGTTGAATTTAATAGGGTAGCTGTCATTACACTGTGCTATACCTTTGGTTTTAGTATTTTCAAAGAGTTGCTGACACATAATGTGTTTTTCTTTAAATATTAAAGTTGTAATATTTATGTTTGTCATACTGCCTATGGTTGTGGGTTATTTTATGTTTTGTCTGTCTCTATCCTCAGTTGTGGGAGGAGCCATAAGCTTTCACTTATACATTAATATCTGTCTGAAAATTTGCTGCATTTTTAATACTTTACTTCTCATTTTAAGCAATGGGAAATCTTAGCACATGAAGGAATTAGCATAGCACAATCTATATTATAATTGTACTTTCCGAAAGTTATAATTTTTATACTTAACCCATGAAAGCAAATGTTTTGTGGTATGAAATTTTTTAGAAAGATTGAATTAGCATTAAAAATCTTAGCTATTCATTTTATTTGATTCTTTTTTAAATTTCATCTGGATGTTATATCTTCTATTATCGATTTAGTAAGTTATGGCTTTACAGTGTCAGTGTTTTCATGAATTATATAGCACAATGTCACTTTGAAATTTGCTATTTGAAGCCTTCTAGATTTTGGAAAAATAGCTCATGTAAAATTTGTGACATTGTAAGGTAATATAGTATGTCTAACAACATTGTCTTGCAAATATCACCCCCAAAGGATTTCAGGAATAGTTTAAAAATAGTGAGCACAGTCGGTGAAATAGTTCAATATTTATGTATTGAAGGTGTTTCGTATAATATACAAAGAGGAAAAACGATCTGTGTCTTGGGAACTCTAAGGAGTATGTGGTATCACTAAAAACCGAGCAAGAAACCACCAGTTAGAAACATGTCTTTTTATAGTTTGGTTCTTTTGTTTTGTTTTGCTCTGGCTTAAGATAATTAATTTTTGCTCTTAAATATTACAAATAACATTTGCTGAACACACTTATGCCACTTGTTAACTAAAATTCAGCACCTAATAATTTTTTTTTTTTTTTTTTACTTAGAGTTTAGTCTCAGTTGTTTCCAGTTTAGTGGAGCTGTGTTTTAAAGGATAACTTTTATGAGCAAGTGCAGCTTTTCAGAATAAAATTGGGGGGATGAGGGTGGGAGACTTGTACTTGATTG